ATTTGTGTGGGATGTGGGCTCCGGGAGGGAGTTTGGGTGCTGAAGGGGGTTCCAACCTGGGGCAAGAGGTTTGGGTGTGGGTGGGGATGCGGGGTCTGGGAGGGAGTTAGGATGCAGGAGGGGGTTCCAAAGTGGGGCAGGGGCTTTGGGGTGTGGGCTCTGGCCAGGCGGCACTTACCTCAGACAGCTCCCGGTCTGCGGTGCAGCTGGGCTATGGTAGGTTCCCTGGCTCCACGCTGTTCCTGGAAGCAGCCGGTATGTCTGGCCCCTAGGCGGAGGGACCAAGGGGCTCTGCATGCTGCCCACACCCAGAAAGCACCGCCCCCGCAGCTCCCTTTGGCTGTGGTTCCCAGACAATGGGAGCTGCGTAGCCGGCGCTGGGGGCGGGGGCAGCATGCGGAGCTTCCCAGATCGCCTCTGCGCTTAGGGACTGGACATGCCGGCCGCTTCTGGGGAGCTGCGCAGAGCCAAGGCAGGCAGGGAGCCTGCTTTAGCCCCGCTGCGCTGCCGACTGGACATTTAACAGCCCGGTCAGCAGTGCTGACCAGAGCTGCTAGGGTCCCTTTTCGACCGGGCATTCAAGTCCAAAACTGGATGCCTGGCCACCCTAATAGACTAGTCATCTGCAAAATTACTAGATGTTGTGAATTCTTAGATTCTTTTTGTTGTTGTTTTTTTCCTTCTAAATGTCAAGTCTTGTCTTCTCTGTTTCAATGGAGGTCTTCACTGGAAGAGCCAGCAATATGGGTTAGCCCTGAAGGGCAGAGGAGGGGATGTTGAATCTTTAACATAATGGCCTTTCTTTCAACTGTTCATGAGGCTTTTGAATTCAAAAGTTGTTAAGGAAAACAAACAAACAGAGATTTAAACAGACTAAATAAAAAATCACTTCCCCATCAGTGAATCTGCTTTGACTTCTGTGAGTTTGTGATATCCTAAGCCTACTTATTCTCTAGTCACCCAGGAAGTTGTTTGTTTATTATTATTAACAATATAATAATTGCCAATGCTACCCTTTGATTTTAATTTAATTTTTGAACTGGTTAGATATTGAAATTCTGGGGTACGCAGTCACCAAAAAGATTAGTAAACAGCAAAGTATGGTCCCACCATCAGGCCTATCTGTTGTTGAAAATCTGTGGTCCAAATATTGAGTAACCAAAAAACTACCTGATAAATAACTGTCTGGGGTTTCAGCTAGTATTTCATCATTAGTACCACTACTAATAGAATGAAGGAGACACTGTCCCCTCACTGCAACATAAGTAATAGTGATGGATGAAAAAACTTGGAAGACAGTATTCACTTGAAACAGCTGAGGAACTGGAAAACATTGAGGCATGAATTATGTGGCCTTCATCTCTTTGTTCTCAAGAACATCCTTCCAGCAATGTGCATCGTCACTGGATGGAAGTCTGATGCTATCCCTTATATAATTTATCTGGTGTTTTCAATATTCTGGTTATTGTATTATGGAGAAAACAATGGATGGTTTTCACATAGGCTATAGTTACTCATCAGTTTCTAGCCCTGATGAGTCATGAAACTTCAGACTGTAAACCTGTCAATGGTGCAGGATTAATATTGGCTCTCTTGGGCCTCAGGCCAGTGCAATTTTGTAGGGAAGAATTACACAATTTGCTGGGAAAGAAGTAAACAATTTTCTATTTTGCAGCTGTTTGAAATGGCAGCTCTTTGAAACTGTTCAGAGGTGTGGAATGTTAGAGATACTGTGTTAGGTGTACTACTAGGCAAAATATATCACTGCAACATGTATTTTTCTTGTCTGGCTCTCTAATATGAAGCTTTCACTTAATGGCAAATGTAATAGTAAAATGTATAGTGGTCACCATTAAAATGTTTGGGGCATATGTTGATCCCCTTACTGCACAAGTATGCCCTGTACTATTCAGTCTGGAGTAAGGGTATCATAATGTGGCTTTTTATGTTTTTGCTTTTCAAGCAGATAATGTTCACAGTAATCCTTATCTGTAGTACACATAAAAGCTAGGAATGTGATGGTAACATATACGCAAGGGAGTGTGTGTGTGTGTGTGTGGTGGGGCGGGTAGATGGGTGGGTAGATAGATCGACTGATCCATGAAGTTATGCCAGTTTGCACCAACTGAAGATCTGACCCATAAAAATGTGTTTAAATATCCATGGGGAAAATACCTGTAACTATATAATAAATATACTTTTGCCAGCCTCAGGTGCACTCTGTTTGCCAATCAATCTCTACTGAAACTGTTTTTAACATTGCTAACTTCCGAGAAGCTGGCAAACAGGTTTTTCTTTATATTTATTCATTTTTGTATTTCCTCCTTTTTTCACCCATACTGGAATTTTATCTCCAAATTGCATTGATCCAGGGTGTTGGAGGTACAATTTCTGATCCAAAAACAGTTTTAAGGTTGTATATGTCATGACCATCAAATCTAACAACCCCTGCCTTACCCTTTGGGATCCCTCCTTCCCAAGGGTTTATAGCATTTGTTTGCAGGCTTGAGCAGGGGTGGCACGGAATATTAAAGTTTTAAAACACCATGATTTATAGAAAACCTCTTAAGTTATTTTTAGAGGGTTAAAAATGTGTTAGAACTATTTTTTCTGTCCCTCCAGGGCTTGTACATGCTAATTAAGTTGTCTTTACTAGTAGTGGGATATTAAAAAGTAGCACCAATAACAAATTTTATAACTGTAAAAAAAGTTTCTAAAATGTATCAGAGGCAAAATACATTTGGTATACAAGTGTTATTGGCAGTGTCCTGGGAAAACTTTCCAGAACCGGGTAATGTGACTATTCTAAACAATACCATACACAGAGAAAGCAGAAAGGAATGGAATGGTGTAAAGGAATGGAGAAGCAATGAGTGAGTTAAGCGGATCATGCTGAACACATGACGAAACATCTGTTATGTCTCTACCATCATATATTTTGTTAAGGTTTACATATTTAGGGATTCCAAATAATGATTATTTTATATTCCAGATAGACAGATGGACATGCATGCGCGCGCGCACACACACACACAGTTTTTGCTGGTAGTAGTACTTAGAGTTAAGGTTGTTAATAGTTGCCGCTATTTCGGATGCTCACAATTTTCTAGGCTATTTCCATTTTTTATGCTGAATTTTTCAGTTTTAGGACTCAACCGAACTATGGGGTTTTTTTTAAATTAAGTTTGCAGAACTGTTCTTCCGCCATTTTTTGCTATGACTCACGTGAAAAAAATAAACAAACATCACACTTATTTAAAAATATTAGCCACATATTCATGGGCTTAGTCTCCTGGGACAGCTTCCACATAACATTGTATATATCTCATTGAAACAGCGACGTTTTCAACTAACAAGACAAAACAAAAACTTGCCCCAACATCCGGGACTGATTATAACCCTGAGTGAAGAAAAACCTGTTCCAGATTGCACAGTGCCATGTTAGCGGAACAGTATGATGCTCTGAATTCGAAGTTTTTCTTTTAAAATAAATGCTTTTTTGTTTCTGAGAACACAGTCGGTCACATTGTAGACCAAGGTGCTGCTGCTGTGTTAACTCACCCTTTCAGAAAACAGTCTCCAACCAAACATTCCTGTTGTCTCCACAGTCCTGCATGGATCATCCCCTGCCTCTACAGAAGCAGGACCAGGCTCAGGCTCATTAAGTCTATGCACCATCCCCCTTTCCTGATCCCTGTGGAGAGCCATCTGGGATGGGGCAGGCATTCAGATAGTAACAGTGCTTGTTACTTGTAAATATTTAGATAGATAAGACCTGGCAATGCCTTTTGCCCTGTCAGCAATGTGGAACCTGTAGTACAGTTATTACAGCAAAAGCTTATCCCCTCTTTTCCATAGGGATCTTCCATATCCTGGAATCCTTTTAAAGAAGGTCTGCTGGGCAGCTGAGCCTGAGGAGCATCTACCTCCTCCCTTCCCTCCCTTATCCTCCCTCTCCCATGTCAGATCCTCACATCTTCTGGCAGGACTTTAAAACACACACACTTTTTAAAAATAAATTTCCTCTGTTCAAAGAAAAAATCCAAGTGAATGTAGCAGTCATGAGAGGTGGTGGGTTGTCAGCTCTGGAGATTTAAGTGGTGGCACGACACAGTGAGGAGCTTGTGCTTCCCAAACTGTCCTGCCAGTCTGCCTCAACCCTGAACAAAAATATGACCTGGAGGAGTGAGGGGGGTAGTTCATTCTCCATCTCTAGTCCATCCCTGGCTTTTCTGACACGTTTGCTAATGGTGATATGGACAGTTGTTAACTAGAAGCTGCTTTGACATTGCCAGCTCATTCCACACAGGTCACCATCTGATCCTGTAGTAATTACCGTCTGGATTTGTCCCAGTGACTGATAGCGGAAAGGCAGTGTGTAGCGCTTTAACAAATTCTTTAGACAGCCATTCCCTAAAATATTTTATAAAGTAATCCGCACATTTTTTTGATTGTGCTTTTCTGCTTGACTGCAGAGATTCAATGTTACTTGTCCCAGACAACAAACTACAACTGCTGCTGACTGTACAGAGAAATCATAGAGTGATCTGGTCATAGAAGGTGTGATCTTTGAAAGAAAATGTAGCTGTTCCTAAGCTTAACTCTTTCATACCCAGTCTGAATCTACATATGAACTACCTGCCTCACTGGGCGGTAGCAGAACTTGGCCCTCAGTTATACCAGTATAAATGTGGAGTAAGTCCATTGATCACAGTGGAGTTATTGATTTATACTGGTGTAATTAAGAGTACAGTTTGGCCTAGAATGGTGTAGGGAGAGGATAGCAAAAATACTAGCCCAACCAATAGGCTGGGGAAATCTCTGTCAAGGAAGGTAACCAGGATTTCCAAGCTACTGTGAGAAATTTTAGCTTGCTTTGTGAACCTAAGTCCATGTACCTCAAAACTGAATGCACGTTAAATGGAATTCTAAAAGAATGTTTAATGCCATTTTGTCTACAGCTAGAGTAAAAATCTGTTTTTTCCCCTAACTATGTGCAGGCTGGCATGGCTTTGACCTATGATCCAACAGCTGCTATACAGAATGGGTAAGTAACATATGCTTTTCAATTCCTTTTTTAAATTATTTGCAGGGCTCTCTTTCCAGTTTCGCTTCCTGCAGTGAAACTCATTCAGAAGCAAATTCATCCAATAATCATTGTATATGCTCTGTCAATGTGCACTGGCAAGTACATTCCATATTTTTCATTTTTGTTTTTATTCTCTGTTGTGTGTAATATCGACTCAAACAAGAAGTTTCTTTTCCTAATAGTTTCCATCTCCATTTGGCAAACACTGTTTTCCCCCCATTATTGCCTTCATTTTAGTTAAAATAATTATTGAGAATGCCAGCATGGCTTGTGTAATAAGATTGTTACTTAATCTGAGTTCCTTCTGCTAGCTGGATGCCTGTCACAGCATTGCCTGAACAAAAAGGCTGAAGACAAAGCCTTAGATTAGGTTTTGAGCAAAAGAGATTCAGGCCAGACTTATAAACTACGCTGACCTTCATTTTTCACCCACAACTTCCTGAGACAAATAATTGAAGGTGCAATTTTTGAAATGTTCCTGCATACTTCAATCATTAACTATCTGACCACCTGATTACACCTTCCATTACTTGTTGGGCTTAAAATTTCCAGCCAGATGATGATGGTTTTAAAATAGGATGTGTTTTGGGTCTAAAATATTTCGCAGTGCCTGTTTAACCAAAGGGATGTTGATTGTAATAATTGCTTTCTACATTATCATCAGTTAAAAGTGTGGGAAATTGGTGAGTCTTGGTAGACCTCACTAAATTCCATACAAGCACTTTAGTGACTATCATCTTGGATCTCCTGCCCATGAAGGGAAAAAGATATGAAACATTAGAAACTCTTGTTTTGTTTTTCAGTATCTCTTAGAGCATAGTTTAAATGTTTAAAAACAAACATTCCAAGTATTTGAAAACAAATGAATGATAATAATTAATACTTTTCAACTTCACTCGACTTTACAAATGACATCCCTCTGAGGTAGATTTTCATTTTGGGGATGAAGATGATAAGGCAGAGCAATAAAGTGACTTACCCAAGACCCCAAAGGGAGTTTTGTCAGAACCCTGATTTGAACTCTGGTGTTCTTTAGTTCTGGTGGAACCTGTGTGGAAATCTCTTTCTTTCTTGAACAAATCCATTTCTTTCCTGAACTGTTCTCTGTGGTCCTGTGCACTTTTCAGCTGGTAGCACCCTGTTGGCCATGTTTGAAATGAAATCATCAAAGTTCATAATCCAGCAGTGTATTATCAAAACAATTAGTTTTTAATTAAAAATAATTCCTATGTATCAGTGACATGAACATAATGGGAATTGTAATTTCAATGACTCAAAGTGACTAACATATTTAATTCTGTGATGATCTGTAAAATTCAGTCTTGTTATAGTGAAAGTTATTTCAAATCCACACATTATTTGTATCACAGAGGACCCAATACCATTCAGGCATTTGGATTGCTCAGTTGCTTGAAGATGTTGCTTTTTGGGGGCGGGGGGGGGGGGAAATGTGTTCTGCAATGCAGTGTCCAATGGAAAATTCCAATTTTTCTATTTTTAAAATGTTCTTTTATTTGAAAAATATAAAATAAATAACAATATAGGGCTTCTTTATCATATATTAACAATTGACTCCTGCTCTTGACCTTTCTTTTTTTCTAGAGGGTCATTACATTTTCAATTTGATTAACATAAAAAGGTCTCACTCAAAATGATCACATGGCAATATTCTGATTGAGTGAAGTGTCATCAGAAGCACTTATTAATATGTAGAAAACCATAGCTGACCCACAGTGAATTATATTGTAGGCATTCCATCTTTGGTTACTGGACACATCATAAAAATAAGAGGTCTCTACTGTCACCTTAATAACATCACTACCCCTTGATTCAATGATTTCTTTTTAACGCCCCCACAATTCATCTATTAGTCTCTGTACATCATATGGATGCAATTCTGTATCATTTTTCGCATGCATACTTGCATATTTGATGGTATGTATTTTGTTGCATTGCTGTCATGGGTAAGTGCAATGAAAAACTAGCTAATGGGATTTGTGCCTGCTTAAGTGTGGGAGCACCTTGATGTTTGGCTGGCAAAGTGAACAAATATGATTCAATATGTTCAGGTATGATGGACTGAATCACACACTGTATTTTAGCACAATTGTTCAGGTAGTGAGTATTCTTGTTGTGTAATTCTTTAGCAATATTGGGAGATGAGCAGCTAAAGTCTGAACATCAAGTTGAGAATATACTTCTGTACTTGCAAAAGCAAGACATACTTGTGCTTGTAGCAAGATTGGGCAGGCCTATTCATGGGACCCATGGAGCTCTGCACAAAGCTGGTAAAATCCAGCTGACTTATTTGAGAGGTGTGGCTTATTAACTCCACCTGGCTTACAACAGAGGTGGAGTGGCTTTCAAAGGAGAGGCAACAGGAGCATGAGGACAGGGGAGGGAAAACCTAGGGACAGCCAAGCTCAAGGAGGAAGCCTAGGATGAGATTTGAGTTACTGATAAAACTAACCCCTAAGAAGGTTGACTGTACCTGTTAGCAAGTCTTAACTCCACGCAGGATATGAGGAAGGTGGGAGTGGCTGTCTAGAGAGAGGCAGCTAGGACAGAGGTGGCCCTGGAAAAGCTCATGGAGGAGCTGGAGTTTATGTTATGGTATTGTTCTTGAGGTCTCAACAGAGCCAAACCTTAAGGAACGGGGTGAGTCTGGACACTAACTCAGGGTCTGTGTGTTCTCCTGATGACAAAAATGGGATTCAGTCCAATCACTGTGTACTGTCAGTTTTATTACTGTATGATTGTATATTTTCTTTTAACGTCCATAGCAGAAGTAAAAAAAGGGACGTTTTCAACAACAACAAAACTAAGTTATTTCCCCGACAAAGTAATGGATCATTCTCTTTTGAGACTATTAAGTTATAGGGCTTGATTCTCCATTCCATTACACTGTTTTTATGCCAATGGAACTCCATTAAAATCAATGGAGTTACACCAGCATAAAACTGGTGTAATGGAGTGGAGACTCAGGCCCTTAGTGTACCATAACAATGCAATATGAACATCTGAAGTACCCATCACAGCACACTGTGCTGCAGAAGCTCTATTCCTTGCTCAATCTCTCTCTGCCTTTTCTGTCTTGTAATCAGGCTTTCTTGAACTGCATTTATAAAGGCACTTGGATTTTATTTCAGGGAGCAAGTAGGTAGTGCTACCTTATCAGTGTTACAATTCATTATATTACTATTAGTTGTTTAATACACTTGTACAAGAGAATACAAAAGTCTTCTATTTGCATTGTAAACATACTCATTTAAAATGTTGCTGAGGTTTTAGTCCTGTTTTGAGTGTAAGATTGCAGTGTACTGTATCAGTTTAATATTGATAGCTGGGGGACTATACTATGGATTTGCAGAGCAATGGGCTCAATACTCAGAGGTGTTTTCCATCTCTGACAGCTGACTCTGTGGCTTATTGCAATGGAAACTTGCTGCTGTGATAATGCTTGGTAATACTCTGACATTATGTTAGCCCCAGGATGCTATTCATGAATCTGACTTTTTCAGTACTGCCTATGGACATGAGGCATGAGCAAATGGTGTTTATTTCTGTGCAAATAAGGTTTGCCATTGTGCATATTTTATGCAAAAGGTTGCACATTCTCCGATAGGATAATAACCATATTGACATTCTTAGCAGTGTTTTACAAAGAGTCAAATCTCCCAATCTAGCTTGCTTTTTTGATGAAGGAGTGAAATATGTGAACTATTAGACAACAAAAACTTTCCTCGGAGCACCGCCTGTCCTATGTGCTAGATATCTGATATCCCCTTATCGTGAACACGGTTCTATTAAGGTGATTTATAAATCTCTCCTTATAAACTTTTCCTATGGCAATGGGAGCTGTGTGAATGTATCCCAGAGCAGACTTTTACCTGTAACGAGGTATGAATGTGTTTCTCTGTGCACGTAATATCCACATACAAAAGATCCTTTTTTTTTTTTAATGAAAGAGCAGCCTCCACTTTGCAGGTGCAGTTTGCAACTGCAAAATTTGCACCTGCATTGTTGCACTTGTTTTTGAGTTGGAGATATGTGCACCTATAGCAACTTGATTGCAGGTGGAGGGGCAAGTAATTTTGATTTGCACCTGCAAATGATTTTGTGTGTGCAAATTGCACCTGCAGAAAGAGAGGCTAAGCCTCAGGCTTTGAGAATGCACGTATATAGGTCATAACATATAGGTCGATTACCTCCAAATCTACAATTCTGGTAAAGTACTGTGCTTTCCAGTGCCAGTGAATTTGGGGAGCAAATTCAGTGGTGAGTCTAGAGGGCCAAAAAGGAGTCAAAGCTGGTGTCACTTCTGCCAGTTCTGCTGTCAGAGTAGGCTGCTCTTTACATTTCACTCCTACCCTTTCTTTGGGATCCACAGCATGTATGTTACACAAGTTTAGACTCCTTTACACATCAGTGAATGAGTGTAAGGGAGTTTGGGTGGGATGTTTGTGAGGTGCCTCTAAGGCTACGTCTTCACTACCCGCCGATCCGGCGGGTAGCAATCGGTTTATCGGGGATCGACTTACCGCGTCTCGTGAGGACGCGGTAAAATCGATCCCTGATCGCTCTGCCGTCGACTCCGGAAATCCACCTCGACAAGAGGTGGCAGCGGAGTCGGCGGCAGCGCGGCAGCGGTCGGCTTTCCCCCGTCCTCACCACCAGGTAAGCCGACCTAAAATACGCAACTTCAGCTATGGTATTCACGTAGCTGAAGTTGCGTATCTTAGGTCGGAACCCCGCTGTAGTGTAGACCTAGCCTAAGAGAGGCAGCACACTACTCACAGCACAGGGAAAGAGGTGTCTAATGTGGCTTTAAATTACCTCCCAGTTCTGGGCTGCTGCAACAGGGAACTGTCTAATCTATGGCACCCCAAGCCAACCTACCTTTGGGCAGCAATGCCATTGAGCATTGCCATTGTCCACTGTGCCCTCATGACCTCCAGCTTCTGGTTCTGCCCCCAGCATACCGTCTACACCTGGACTTGCAGAGGGGGCTTCGGAAGACATCTTGCAGCTGACTTGCTCAATTCCTTCACTGAGGGAATTCTCCCCGAGAAGGATGAGGCTTTTCCACCCCTTTCCGCTGCAGAGTATGGCCCAGTGTCATTAAAATTACAGTACAACTGTAGGCTTGTTTTTCCTATTAAGTTGTTTGTTCTGTCAGAATTCTCTCCTTTCTTTTCCGTGGTGCCCTGGTGTGGATGCGTTAGGAATGTCTCTGACTGCCCTGATAATTTGTTTTAAATGATACCTGTTTGAAAGCATTCCAGACCATGACAGATAAATGGCATTGGCAGGGGAGTTGAGAGGCATATACTTTTCACATTACCCGAGTGTGTATTCCAAAAGCTTATATAATAGTCACATAGCTGCCGCTCTAAGCTAAAAATGAAATGGTTAGCTGTCTATAGAGTTATTGGCTTAAGCAGGGAATCAGCATTAGGGGATCAAATAGGACGTGGTTTCTCTCCTCAACTGTCTTCCACCTGATAGCTCTTACCTTGAGTGGCAGTATTTTAACTTCCTAGAGAGTGAAATAACATTCCATATTTGATGGATAGGATTAGAACAGTAAGAACCAAAATGCATTATTTTCTTGAAAGGGTTCCCCCTTTACAGTATCTCTTTACTTGCGAGGTTTATTTATATTTCTATTGTGCAGTTCCCCGTGGAGTTTCCTGTAAATTCTGCCATTTTCGTTTATGGTCTACAGCTTGCCTCGGTACATTTGCTAAAAAATAGCATGGCCAAAGTGAAATCTGATTAGCCATTGACTGGGAACAGATCACTTGTGGTCAGCAGAGCATTCTAACAGGACTAGGAAAAACATATGCGTTGTGCTAATGTCACAGGTAAATGTATTCAAAAAATTCTTTGGTTTTAAATAACAGCGTCTGTTCAGTCCCTGCTGAACAACAATGTAACAAAAAAGGCATCTCTCTTTTCCTTCATTATCTCATAAATAGGATACATGCAAAATGTTATATGGAGACATTTTAAAAACAGCTGTCTGGGCAGCACTCTCCGGCGATATAGACATTCTTAAAAATGGCAATTTATTGCTATGTTTTTTCCAGAGTTCAGCCTGCTGCCCTTGCTAATTTAAAATCTTAACCGTTTTCAGTATTTCAAATAATTTCTTTTCTCTTCTCCCCTGTTCTCTTTGGACATTTTCTTCCAATGTTCAAAGAAGGGAGCCTGCTTTTCCCAGCCTACCTGTTTCTCCTGATTCAGTGATTTATTTTACTCCTCATCCAGAATCTGCTACATTAAATAGACTGTATTTATTAAATTATTAAATTTTTATTTATTAATTATAAATTATAAATAAAAAAAATAAAAAAAAAATAATTAATTAAATTAAAGTATTAAATCCTGATTTGTCAAAGTGATCGTTAAGCAGTGTACTAGTGTAAAAAAATGATAATGTTTTGTTGCATGGCTCTTGTGGAAGGCTACTGTTAATTTCCTTTCCTCAGAGTGGGGGAGATGTCATAGGAAGGGGAAGAATACATTCTAATTCACCCCTCTGCAGAAAGCGTCTCTGCAAAATCCTATGCACCACTTCTACCCAGTGCATGCCTCAAGTGATGTGCTTGACATAGAAATAAAAACAATAAAATAAATCAGAGGTTGAGATTTCCAGAGCTGTCTACGGGAGTTAGAGACTAGACAAGGTGGGTGAGGTTAATATCTTTTATTGGACCAACTTCTGTTGGTGAGAGCGACACGCTTTCGAGCTACACAGAGCTCCTCAAGTCTGGGAAAGATACTCCGAGCATCCCAGCTAAATGCAAGGAAGAACAGATTGCTTAGCAAAAGTAGTTAAAGACAAAAGCAACCCGACACATGTGGGTGAACGCTTTTCACAAAGCGATCACTCTATGTCTGACCTATCAGTCCTCATCCTCGAAGGAAACCTGCACAACACTTTCAAAAGACAAGCCTGGGAGTCAGAGACGACTCGTGCCTGCTGATAGTGAGGAGCACAACGTAAAGGGGGGGCATGTGACCACCCCATGCGTTGCCTCTGGGAGGAACCTTCCAGCCCCACCTCCCTGGGGCAGGGCAGCCAATCCCATCGGCTCCTGGGGGGGGGTGCACAGGAGCAGGGAGCATGTGCCTCGGGTGGGGACCGTGGCTGGCCCTGGCCTGAGGAGACCGACAGTGTCTCCCCAGAGCTCCGGCATCCTCACAGATACTTCAGCAGGGGTATCCTAACTCAGGCTGAGCAGAGGGACTCTGCTCCCAGCGCCTTCCCCAGCAACCCTGGTTGGGGGCAAAGGGGGCAGGATGGAACCACTTCTCGCACCAGTTGAGGGTGGGCGCTCAAGGTCACTGACTCTGTGCAGCGCAGTGGCTGTCTGCGAGAGAGGCCAGCTGGGGACGCAGTAGTGGCCCCCCCCCCGCTCCCTGCCTGAGCCAGGCTGCCGGGGACAGGGGACGAGCAAGCCAGAGCCCCTCAATCCTTGGCACATTTCTGGCTTGCTCCCCCGCCAGCAGGCTGAGCAGAGCAAGCCCTGCAAGGGAAGCTCGGCACTCACCGAAATCTGAGGGGGCGCTAGACCCCACATGCTCCCACCCACGTGTCACCTGTGCTGGGAACTTAAATTGATAACTCTGCTAGACACTAGAAATCATTTATTGAACAGAGACACTGGATTTATGGCTTATTACAACAATGTGTAACCCACTAACCCTCTCATTTTGTCTATAACTGCAGAGGTGTTAATCAGCCACTTTATCTTGAATATGTGCTAATTACTTACACTGAACAATCTGTTCCACCTTGCATTTAGCTGTGATGCTAGGGGTACCTTTCCCAGGTCTGAAGAAGAGCTTTGTGTGGCTGGAAAGCTTGTCTCTCTCACTAACAAATGTTGGTCCAATAAAATATATCACCTCACCCATCTTGTTTCTCTAATATCCTGGGACTGATACCGCTACAACTATACCGCATACAACTAGGGAAGTTAGACACATACCTTTGAATAATTTCAATGGAAGAGATGCATTTTCCACTTCTAGATTGATATGAAAATCTTAACCAGTGTGTCCAGTAACTGCAGCTATCCCGTAATAAGCAAACTGAGGGAATATGCATAGAATATATTATCGTCAACACTGAACTATTCAGATCTGAGAAAAAATAGTTACCGTATGCATAAATGAGATGAATATCAGTGTCTTTGATATGGTCCAAGAAGTTTTCCTAGACTAGATTGTACTCTGGAAAATCAACCACCTTTGCATTTCAAATAGCTGCTTTCTCCATTTCTGAAGGAGAGTTTTCCAAAGTTCTATGCTTCTTAATGCTTTCTGTAGGTGTAGAAGAAAAAATGATGTCTTATGCAAATGATCTTGATAGTGAAATTGAGGGGGAGGGAGAAAACCGACAAAATTCATAGAGCCACATCATCCTTTTTTATTATTGTTTTGGAGAGAAAAAGATATAATTGTCTTTGCCCAGTGGTGGCAGTGGATCAGTTAAGTGGAGTCTGGCCATCAAGAGCCTCAAGAATCTTCCTTTTGTTTTCTGTTTGCAGATTTTATTCCTCACCGTACAGTATTGCAACAAACCGCATGATTCCACAGACATCTATCACGCCATTCATTGCTGCTTCCCCTGTCTCTACATATCAGGTATGTCAGATTTGCATGCATCTCAGTATGTACCCCCACTCGACAATTATGTTTTGGATGTGGACAAAGACAAAACGTATACAGCAGAAAATTGTGTGTGCCTGCATGCTTTACTCATGCTTTAAACCAAGGCTTTTTTAGTAGCACTCAAGTTCTACTTAGTGTAGGGCAGGGGTCGGCAACCTCTGGCACATGCCACTTCCCGCAGCCCCCATTGGCCTGGAGCCACAATCGGCCGAACCTGTGGACGTGGCAGGTAAACAAACTGGCCCGGCTTGCCAGGGTGCTTACCTGAGGTTGCCGACCCCTGGTGTAGGGTATCAAGCATTTTCTGGATTCATTACACTAAGTAATAAACGCCACCATGCTTTTGTCCTATTTCAATCAGTTTTTCAAGTGCTCAGCATTTTGCTTCATTTCCAGTTGACACTAGCAAAAGTTTGTCATGCTTAATGAGATGTTTGGTCATTATGGCTTCTTTCCATTGGCCAAATTTTAGAGAATGCACCTTTTTAGTCATTTAGTTTGTCTTCATCATGTTTTGACCTTTTGCTTTCAGCTGTACTTCCCTCAATGACCTTCATTAACAACACACATTCCTCTTGAGTAGCACCCTGCAAAGCAAGACATTGGGGGAACACAGTTTTTATAGATGTCTTCAGGCTCCCATCCATTGTGTATTTTGGAGTTTCTGTTCTCACCAACTCCTCCCAGTCTTCCCAAAATAATTTTAATGTCCAGGTCTCCTTTTTCTATATCAAGTTTCCATTGTGAAATCCTTGTTGTGGCAGGATGGCTTTTCTGAGGTGATGTCAAAACATTGCTGCATAGATTTATTTGCAGGTGATATTTTTGGAGTGAAACACCTCCAATATATAGCTAATCATTATTGATTTGAGGAGCAAAAGTGCTGAGTTTTTCCCACATTATAGTGAGGAACACTTTTGTCAGGCCATCAGAGTTGAAACCATGCACAAAATGTATCCCTAAAACTTACCAAGATAGATAATTTTCATTGTTATTTGGGGTTGTTTTCTTTAAATATTTATGGTTGAATTTAATGGTCATGAAAGTGGGAAACTTATGGCACTTACTTTAACCAGGTACAGTGCAAGTGTTATGTGCTCTTTCCCATACCAGTCAGTTCCAACCTGTAGCCTCGCTGCTCTTCCAGTCCTGGTGCCTGCTTCAGAAAATTCCACCAGACTTGCAAAACTACATTTGGGGTTTTTGTTGTTGTTGTTGTTGTTGTTGAAGTTTTTTTTAATATGAAGAAAATGTCTGCAGGATACTACCACTTCGTTGAGATACCAACATTATTTTAGTTTGTATAGGAAGGGAGATTGAAAATCAGATCTCCAGAGGTAAAATTAATTAAACCTCACTCTACTCCACAACTCGGAATTCTTAAGCTTGAAGTGTATGTAAAATTTTTCACCGAGATAACTTCCAAATGGCAGCACAAAGGGTAAAAATTTCAAAATCTCTTAAATGGCCTAGCATCCCTTTCCCAAGCTTTGAATGAGACTTTTAAAATTACTTTCTGAGGTACATAAGTCACTTTTGAAATGAGGACTTAAACACGATGGCACTAAAGAGCTTTTGAAAATTTTACTTAAAGTTTGAGCCAACTGTACCGTCTATTGGATAACACACTTCATTGGATAAAACAGGGGAGCATAGACAGTGTGCTGTCCTTCAGACTCCTGAACATGGCAGAAACATTACTGAATGGGATCTGAAAGTTTCTATGCCAATAGGATTACAAGACATAAATGAATTTTGTCTCCCTGTAGGTTCTTCCTGAAATTAGCTCACTATTAGTTGTTATTGTGACAAGTGAAAAGGATGCTTGCAACTGAATTCACTGAGAAAAGAAATCTCTATTTAAAACTGTTTTGTGCTAATGAAAGTTGTTTGATATGCAGGTCCAGAGTACTTCGTGGATGCCTCATCCGCCATACGTTATGCAACCAACAGTAAGTGGATATTTCCTCACATCCAACTAAACCTGTATGTAGCAGATTCCTATCTCTGCTGGGCAGCACTAGATCATTGGAAAAGTTATAAGAGCGACCAGCTGCCTCATTAGATGAGAATCTTTTGTCATGCATGTCAAGAACTCGCTTCTTAAAGGAATAATATGTGTATTCAGTATAAAGAGGAAGATGGGATCATATATTGTCTAGTTTTGTTGATTATATTAAGGGAATAAAAAACCCTTGAGTGTAACCTCTGAATCATTACTTTACAGACTGTGAAATAACTGCAGTCTTGGATATTTTGAGTTGCTTGGATGAACACATCTGCTACCTTTCCCCTATGTTTATCCATTCAAAAAATCCTTTCTAACTGACATATATACTTGAAAGGATCCTCACTGCATCACTAACGTATTCCAAACACTGCAAGAGGTAAAGCACAGCTGTCTCAGGGCTTGTCTACACTACCGCGGTAGTTCGACGGCTGGCAATCGAACTTCCGGGTTCGATTTATCGCGTCTGGTGTGGACGCGATAATTCGAACCAGGAAGTGCTCGCCGTCGACTGCGGTACTCCACGTCAGCGAGAGGAGTACCGCGGAGTCGACGGGGGAGCCTGCCTGCCGTGTGTGGACCGCGTCTGAACCGCGGTAAATTCGAACTAAGGTATGTCGACTTCAGCTACGTTATTCACGTAGCTGAAGTTGCGTACCTTAGATCGAATTGGGGTGTTAGTGTAGACCAGGCCTTAGATTCTCTGCAGAATTTGGGTCTACTCTCTGACTTGATCAGTCAACTCATATTTTTTCTGTCTTGGAAAGTTTGCTTAATCAAATACAGTAAAGCACTCAAAACAGCACTCAAATACATGTAGCATCATTCATTAAAAATAAGTAGTACTGCAAGTTTAGTTTCGCTCACAAAGTACTTTTGACAGTGTTGTTTAAATGCCAGCGAAGTATTAGACGGATTCAAGACACTGAATACATTTGTACAGATTGTCTGAATTGTGGAGTGCTTTGTTTGTTTGTTTGTTTGTGTTGTATTTGGCCAACTTATCGGATATGGATTGACGTGAAACTGTTGCTTATTCACATTCAAATATTTATTCCACATCAACACATTTTGAGTAATTGATTTAGCATGAGGAGAGAAAATGTAACGTGAAGGTGCAGAGCATCAGATTTTTACAATATCTGTGTTTTCCCACTTGTGGAAGTATTTTGACATTATTATAATAGTTTAATTTATGTGGTGCCTATCTGCTGAAGTATGATATCTTGGGAGTGAATTTCTCTGTCCATGAAATTTGAGTAGCTGCTTTCACTAGCTAGAGTTAGGCATATAGTAGTATGGATATAATTATCTTACCTGTGGACCAAAATCCTGATTTGAAACACCCTTGCTCATTCACCATTATTGCTCTCCTGAGCAGAGTCTTACAGATTTTTCAAGCTGTGCAGTGGTCTGATCATGTGATCAAATGCCTATTCAACGCTCAATTGAAACAACCAAGTTTATTTCACTTGCTTCCAAATCTAGATGCAAATCCATGTCTCCTTGGAGAAAGAGAGCACATAAAGCTCCCTACATCCAACAGTAGGGAGGCGTGTTCTAGTTTTTATAAGCACAATGAAATCTGTTCTCTAACTCTTCAGACATAACTGCAGAGCATAAGAAATGGTAGAGTCCCGCACATTGGTGAAGACAAGTAACTGTTTTCTAACCTGTGAAAAACCAACAATCTCTGTAAAATACACAGGATTTACAGAGAAAATCCAAGCACTTCACTGTTCCGGTTTGAGATCTTTTGTTCCATATGACCACTTGGCTATTATTATAAAACACAGAAACTTCATTATGAAGCAGTTAGGGTTGCTACACCCAAAATATGCCTGACACACACCCACAAAAGGAAGGAAGTGAAAAATTAATCCACTTAACTACATACCATCTGCTCTACCGCACCTACACACACATCTTAATATCACCACAACTACCATACACCATGGACCTTTACTCTGCCTTGTTTTTACTCTTCAGCACACACTCTTTTAGCAGATTATTTTTCCCCCGACATTAGTAGTTGTAGGTGTTTGGTTGTGTTGGGAGAGGGTAGTTTTATAAATGGGTCTGTTCAGTAGAGTGATTAAAGAGGTAAAGGAAGGCTGGCATCCCAAGAGAGGCAGAGTTAAGTCTGTGGTACACTGTCTATCATGTAGGGTAGTTGTGGCCATAGTAAGGTGTGTGCTTGCGGGTAAAGGAGTAGAGGGTATGTAGGTAATTGACTTAACTTTTCATTTCCCATGACTAATGACTTCACACACTTTTTTTTTTTTGTGCATACACTTCTTAGGTGGGTTTTTTTTAATGTTTAATCTGGGGCAGGCATTAGATAAGGGGGAGATAGACAAATTGGTCGAAGTGCAGCGGGATATCAGTCAGCAATGAAATGTAGGACTGCCAAGGAAAATTTTCACCCAAATCCAATGGCTTAATTATTAAAAATTTATTATGAGAAACCAAACACTACATAGACAATTCAAAGAGCATAAAGATTAACAGCCTCTAAAATGTCACACCAATTGGCAACCTACATTAATAAAAAAACAGGAATTTATGCCCTACTTTAAGCCCACCATAGTTGCAACTCTGACTATGGAGTCTCTGCCAGGCACCTCCAGAAAGTTAAAAACAACAAAATGGAGAACATCTGACTAAGTTAGGATTTCAAATTCTCCAGTGAGTTATTGAAACTGTTGGCTTTCCGATCCAATTAGCTATTTGTCTCACCTCTTTCGTTTAGTATGTGACTTTATCTAAAATGTCACTATTTTACTTGATAGCATTTTACAAGATGACTGATTACAGTGTGTGTGTACTCTATGTGGCTGTATAATGTCACATTAGAAGCCAGTGGTGATAAAATTTTACATTCCCCTTGCTACAAAATTTAGGAACATTTTGTTAAGGCTGTATTATTCTTTGTGAGCAAACATAAACTCTTTTAAGGAGAGTAATGTTTGAGTTACTTCTAATGCTGATGGTTAATGCTTTTTGTTTATTATGAATATTCAGTAAATGATGTCACTGGATGATTACTTTTTCATTCTCAGAAGAAAGTTCAGATTTAACATGCTATTTATATTTAAACACTATGTAGTGCTCTTCATGATAGAAGAGCCAGGACTCTGTTGTAGTGAAGACAAAGGAGATTCTTTATTCGGGATGCTATACGCACACACGCAGACAACCCAGCTTTCTCCCAGGTTCTCAAGCTCACAGACTGAAGGAAACAGCTGTGCTGCACAGTGTAACAACCCAAAGAATATCTGGCTGCAACAGAGAGATCATGGAATGGATTGTTGACTACGTGCAATGCTGGCCAACTATTTATGTGGAAAAATGCCAGGAATGTATTTCCAGTCATTACTGACCAAATAAGAGTAAAGTCTGACTTTACTTTGAAGGATAATGGGTAGAAATATTATTTTGGATGTTATACATAAATTCTATTAACTGTGTAGTTAGCTGCATGGAAATGAATATAAAATGGATTCAACCACTTTTGTTGATTTAGAATAATTAGCACAAATAATATTCTCATGCTGGCAAAATGAAGTCATGCCAAAGAAATACCCACATCTGTGTACCCCAAAAGCCACTTGAACTTGCAAACTGGAGATCTGCACGTGCTTTAGAAAATGAGATTTGGGCTCCTGAATCAATTAGGTACTTTTAAAATGTTTACCCGGAGGATCTTTTGACTCATGCCCTTTTTAAATTTTTACCCTATGTAAATGTAATCTTCTCAATTAGATGGCTGAGCTGGCTGCACTATAGTCAACAAACAAACAAATCTCCAAATATTCAAGCTGTATTATTTTGTCCCCTTTCCTGTATGTCCTACCTACGTTTACCAACTCTGGAGGAAAACAAGCTCTGATAGCATTGTGACAAGGTGATATTGGAGTTCTCTTGACACAACATTTAATTAATTCATCCCAGAAACTGAGTTCTGTTTGATCAAGCACAAATTTCTTCTTAATCTGTTCACCCATCCCTGTCAGGAAAAATCATATACTCCATTGCTGCCTTGGAATAAGGGTTGAGGGAGAGAGATGGCAGAGTCCAGATATGAATGAAAAGTGAATTATCCTGTGGATTTAGAGACTTTGCCATATTAGCATGTTTTTGTTGTATGATACCCTGCTATCCTTGAACGCTCTATGGTGGCTCATCGAAAACTTTGAAAAACATTCTATTTAAAGACAATTCAGAGAGAGAGAGAGATCTTACGTGTTTCTTTTAATTATCCAATTTTTATGATCAGAATATTTGTTTTTAAAAGTTCATGTATTCTTATTACTTGTTCTTCACGAAGGGCCCAATTGGTATGGAACCAGCATAAATACCATACACATACATTATCTGTGTATGCATCTGTTTTTGCATTCGAGACCCCTCATGTGTGCATGGAAAGCTAATAATTAGGGCCAAGTCTGCTTTATAGATTCTATACAGTAGCTGCCGAGAGGATTGACCAATGGAAACAAGCATCATACCGGGATGGGAGGAAAGCACAGCAGCACACAGGGTATGTCTACTTTCCAGTCGGAGGTGCAATTGCAACTTGGGTAGGCATAACCATGCTAGCTTTAATCTAGCTAGTGCAGTTACAAATAGCAGTGAGGATGTGACAGCATGGGATAGCAATGCAAATATGTACACAGGGATCCAGGCAGCTTGTACAGCTTACAGTGAACCCTGTGATGCCACGTCTACACTGCTATACTAACTAGAGTATATCTAGTTCAGGTGTGTCTACCCAAGCTGCAATCACACTTCCTGTTGCAATAAGACATACACCCAAGGAAAGCCACTCATGTAGGATGGTTTCCATTCTGATGATGCATTTCCAGTAGACGCCCTGGATACGTGAGTTTTGAAGGACTTGTCTCGTATCCAGCCACAAGCCCCCAATCCCTTCTGCCAAGA